ACTCAGACTTGGTGAGAACCTGAACAGTCCACAAAGACAGTGGTGCTGACTGGAGAATATATTTTTTTCCCATCAATGTTCTAATGAAAAGAATTCAATAAAAGAATTATTTAAAAATCTGCCACGTTTCACACATAAGGACATTTTTCATTGAATTAACAGACTTTAAACTCATGAATAAAATATCAAAGGCAGTCTATTGAAATAGATGCTTATTTATATTGTACAAATGAGTAAGGCCAGCCAGTAACTTTCTTTCGCTTTCTGATTTGTTTTGCTTTGCATAGTCACCTCAATATCCAAAAAGAACAAACTAGCAAAGCAAAGAATAATTTGTAGACTCTATAAATAAATCACTGGTTACCAGAGAGAATGGGGGAGGTGTGAATAAGAAGGGTTAAGGGGGGACAGGTGACAGAGTTGTCATACCAGAAAGATGGTGGAGGGTGAGGGAGGTATGTTCACGTCCAGAGGTGTGACCTTATACTTCCAAATTTATACATTCATATAAAGCTGTGGCAAAGCAACAAAATCAAAGACGAGTAAGAGAGACTTAATAAAATGGGTAAAAAACAAATCATGGATATATAAATAAAAACCGCTAGAATCCTTTTTGTGGCAGGTGTAGAATCTGGACCAAAATTCTTTCTTGGGCTAAATCCTTTTAGTACATAATACATAACCCACTCATGCATTCTGTAGGGACAAAGGAAAAGGGTGATTTCAGGCTCATGGGGATAGTTTTAATTCATTCCAATCTTTTACATTGTCTTTAATCAACAAAATTGACAAATTCGAGCTTTTGCCTCAAGAAGTGCATACAGCTGGTACATGTGGAGAGCTGGAATTGGGGATGCTCTCAAACTTAGGACAAAAAGAAGCAAACTATACCTCTATACTTCACAGTGCTGCAAACCAGTGTCACCACAATGAAAAAATAATAAAATTTTTAAAAATCATAGATTTAAGAAATAAAAACTACAAGCTTAAATCAAATATTTTCCCATCCACACATAAAATCAAATTAAGTTCAAATTCATGACTTAAGGCCACCAGATGGACAACAGCGAGAATGAAGGCTAATGGAGACTCATCACTGACTATGATGTCAATGAAGAGTCATCAGTGGTAACAAGTATATTAGTCTGGTGAAGTCGGGTGATAAAGGGAGTTTAGGGATGTGCAGAGGTAGGGAATGCATGAGAAATCTTTCTTTTTTCCTTTCAACTTTGTTGTAAATAACAAAATTTTGATCTGTTCTTTTCAAGTAATCTTAATGTAAATCAAGCCAGCAAGTCCCCACTAGAGATATGTGGCCTCAGCACAACTGACCCAAAATCTAAGAAGAGACAGTTAGTCACAGAGAGGAGACACATACAAAGAGGATTTGCTGGGCTACATTCAATTGGCCACTGGTTAAGAGCTTAGCGAGGGCATTGGAAAAATTGCTGAAGGCTGTGTGTGGCTGGTGGAACAGTGAAATTGCTGGGCACTGCATAGATTTTGGGGGGTCTACACCATTTTTCAACCCCTTTCCCTTTGAACCCTACTGAACATGCACAGGATAGGTCAGAAAACCATCAGATCTTGAAGGGAGGGCAAGAGACTTCACCCAGAAGAATGAAGGCATTAACTGGGGAAAAGGCAAAGCTGCTGACTTAAAGATACTGGTGAGAATTTACTGCAGCTAAGGGAAAGGCATAGGAAGGAGAAATGTTTACTCTTGGGTCAGTGGACAGGGTTAAGTGCTAAGTACACAACTGAGTCAGCGTTGGGGTGGAGAGGAGAGCAGAGAGAGCCCCTAGGGACTAGACATCCCTAAAACAGAGCCTTCATTAAATGGCAGAGATGTGTCTCCCACTCTCCACCATGCAGCTAAGAAGCTTCAAATGTCAAGTAAAACATGGGGGAGAAGCATAGGTGAGCAGAGAACCTCTTTGAAGCACTGCTTGAAGAGGAAACCTAATACTCAAAGTCATACATCCACCACCCTAGAAACAAGATATCTTTGGGTATTTGAAAACTGTGAAGCACTGAATATAAACACAGCAAAAAAATAAGAATCTCAAAACCAGACTAAATGCTAACTGGATTAATAAAAGGCTTCCATTAAAAGCCTTGCAGAAGGAAAGCATGGCCATATCTAGCTAAATACTATTTACCTCACTTTCTGTTACACACATATTTGACTGTCAAATAAAAAATGAGGCACACCAAAAGGCAAGGAAAAACAGCACACACATCAGAGACAGCGTGATTATCAGAAATAATTGTAAGATTATAAAGTGGCAGTAAGACACTGTGGTATTGGTGAAAGGATAGATTTACGGGCTTGTGGAACATAATAGAGGAACCAGAAATACATTCACTGTGGAGTTTTGGGAAGGGCTAAGTTCCTGAAGAGTTAGAAGGTAATTTGAGTGGGAAGAATGGAGAAGGTAAATTTATTTATTTATTTATTAAATAAATAAATTTAATTTTATTAAGTTTATTAAGGACAACATATATACATGGATCTTCAGTGCTGGGAGCAGTGGGTAGGACTTCAGGTCGAGGCAGGATCCACACAGCAAACTCCAACAAGGGACTGCTTAGACTCTGTTTAGTCTGTTCAGTAATTCTTTTGTAAGACATATGCCTCCAAGAGGACATAGTACTCTCGTTTTTGTTCTACTAAGCTCATCGATTAGTGTATGGGCGATGGGGTAGTGTGTGGATCATGACAACAGATTATTACACATGTGAGAAACAATGGAAAAACTGGATATTTACCCAGAGAAGAGCAACTGCTTTTGATGGTCACACACAACTATCACCAGCTAATTCTTGACCACAATGAAAAGACAGTAAATGGGGAAATGTTTTTTTCAACAAGTCCTATTAGAACAACTGGCTGACTACATCACACATACAAGAAATGACTTTAACACATATCTCTAACTGACATAAAAATGAACTTAGTTGCCGGCCCTCCCTGGTGGCGCAGCGGGTTAAAGCACAGCAGTGAGAAGCTTAAGCCACTTCCACAGGAGTTTGATTCCCGCCTGCCCCGGAGGTGACCACATGGCGTGGCAGACCTCTCCTGACCCGCCCGCTGCTCCCCTCAGCAGTGTACTTCATCGATCTTCCTGTTCTGCTCCCCACTCTGTCCCTGGTGAATCCTCTCACCCTCCGCATCTCTGGCCTGTACCCCAGTTCTGTATGCACAAATAAATAAATAAATCTTAAAAAAAAATTGAACTTAGTTGCCAAGGTTCATATTAACAGTAGTTAGTCAAGCTAATATTACTTGCCTCTGGTATAATATGATGAGAAAAATCATCACCTATGTAAGAGTCTTCTCCCATATCCAAAACCTCAATCTATTTTTGAGAAAGCCTCAGACTGAAATTGAGATATAGTTTACAAAATATCCTACTAGGTGAAGAGTATCCAGGGATATGTTATACTACTTTTTCAATGATTCTGTAAATCTAAAGTTATTTCCAAATTAGTAAGTTAAAAAAGAAATTGATATACTTTCTATATTACCTCTCCCTTAGAGGAGAACCTTAAGGTGATACCCAAAGGACCAGCCACAGAAGCCAGTGAAATTAGCATTTGTATGATTTACAGTTGATCCCATTATCTTTCAGGCTTTCCTGAACTTAGTAGCTGTGGATAGGTCATTTCATTTTTTTTCAAATAAGAACCTGGATGAGAAAACTGGAGCTTATGAAGAGAAAGTGAAGGCTGTTCATTAACTCCTGTCCTATTTATACCTTCAGGACTTAATGACTTAATTTCCACTTTTTTTTTTAACTTCAAATACTGTACTGTTGGGATTCTTGTTCTCCAGTTTTAAGCCTCTGGAAGGATTTATGAGTTTGTATATATACCTGAATCTGCCCTATCAAAGTGGCCATAACTGATTCAAATTCACAAAAGTAGTATTGATCCATTGATATGTCAGCTTTATATTCTAAGTCAGAGGAAACAGAAAAAAAGGAACAAAGAGATGGGGGGGGGGAATAGGATATAGTGGCCCCTATTCACAAGGCCATTTCCTTCTTAGCCATTGAATTGATAACTGCAGGCCCTCACTGGCCATGTCTTTATACCAGTGCCAATCGAGGACAAACAGGGACTCCTGGAATTGGAAGTTTTGAAATATAAGGTGAAGCGACTATATAGCAGCTTCTGCCACTGCAGGCAAACCTTTATCTTAATTTGGACATTTCTGTGATTGGTTTACAGGGGCAATTGTAGCAAATTACCACATACTGGATGCTTTGAAGCAACAGAAATTAATTATTTCATAGGTTGGTGGGGAGGAATGTCAAAAGTCTAAAACTAAAGCCTACGCAAAGCTGTCCCTCTATGAGAGACTCTTCCTTTTCTCGAGGTCCCTTTCAATGTCTCTGTCTTTACACCACTGTCCCCTCTTCTGTCTGACACTTGTCATTAGATATAGGACCAAGCTAGATAATCCAGGATTATTTCTTCATCTCAAAATCTTTAACTTCATCATATCTACAAAGACCCTTTTTCTGTGGTAGAAACTTTCACAGGTTCTGGGGATTATGATGTAAGCCTATTTCAGGAATACCACCGTTCAAGCCAATATAACATCCTTCCAACTAATTTTTTTCCTCAAACTAAAGATTGCTAGTTTCTGTTACTTACAATCAAAAGTACTTGGAAATTAGGTTTCTCCCTGCTAGAAAGAGTAGTTATAAATGGTTTGTACCATCTGTACACTAAGCTTGACTTCAGTTCTCCTCTAACTTTAGTGTAATAAGAATTACTTTGGAATTTATTAAAAATGCAGTTAAACTTTTCCCCTAGAATTTCTCAACAAATTGGTCCAGGAATCTACATTTTAAATAATTTCTAGATAGTTCTGTTGGTAAAAGAACACATTTAAATAAAAGCAAGAGGAAAAGCAATGAAAAATAATTTGAAAACTTTAATGATGTTGTTTATATAGTAAAAACATAAAATCTTTTAAATAAGGTACATTCAGTTTCTCAGAGCATCTAATAATCAGATAATTTATATTTCATACACTTTCCAACATTAAACAACCGACTAAAGAACAAATTTTCTATAAAATGATATTACAACTTATACAGGTGAAATTATATTACAAAAACATTCCACATGGGAAGAATGGCAAGAAGTTATTAGGAAAATCTACACACTTTCCATTAAAAATATATATTTTATCTCTTTCACTTGTCATAATAATAAACAGCATATATTTTTCTTCTTTCTAAAATTGTCTTACACAATTTCCATTTAGGATGATAATATGTACAAACCTTATATTTGAAAGAATATAAATAACAAATACTGTAATAGTGTTACAGATATATTAGTAACTTTTACAGAAAAAAAATATGGCTTTCTAATAAAAGCCTCTAGCACAGCTGAAATCTCAAAGCTATTTAAATTAGACATTCCCATATTTAGTAAGTTACAATGAAGTCTAGTTTTTTATTTCCAGTTGAATTACTGCAAGCAGTAATAAAGGAAAATGTAGTGAGTAGATATTGGACCAGATCTGTTAGTTGGATAAATTATTTGGGATTTATTGAATTTTGGGAGGAAATATTAGTTATTTTGCCACACCATAACTTCTTTTTTTTTCATGCCCTGTGGCCGAACCTTGACATTGGAGATGAGAAAGAAATCATTGTACCCCCTCAAGTGCCTGAGAAATGGCTTACTCATCCATGCGCTCTGACCCATGGGTGAGAAAACAGCCTAATGATCACTTCCGGTTATAAGCAGCTTATTTTTACGGATTGAACCTGGTTCCCTATCATTTCTAAAAACAGCTTCTGGTACAGTCTGTACATAGTGAAGCTGTGAAGGAACCTGATGGTCTTCTTTAGGCTTTGAGTGACAGTTTTGGGGAAATGGTATGTTTTCAGGTGCTTGAGTGCGTGCATTAAGCCCTTCAAAGTGTCTTGGTCGCCATTTTTTATTCTCCACAGGCTGAGCAGCTTCAGAATCTGCTCATTTGATTTGCATGCCTTCGTGGTCTGCTCAATGTCTTCTGCTGGGACTCTCTTCCCAGGCAAGTTTCCCATCAAGCTGCGAAGCTGCTCGAAGGAGAGGTTCATGTGTCCAATGTGGCGCTGCACGCTGTTTTCACAGAGGTCGATATCTGCATAAAGCAAAACCCCAGATGATCACGTGATGGTTATTCTTCTAAGATCTACCTGAGGCAAACAGATATCCCAGGGTTTCACAATTTTAGTTTAAAGATAACCTCTCTTTCTTTTGGCGAGACATAAGTGATGTGACTTACTTCTGAGGACTCCCATTGATAAAAGTTTTGTGTTACAGTAGAAGGTGCTTTAAATTCTAAGCATCCAACAGTGTGTTGTGAAAAACCCTAATTTTAAAATTAAGTTTAAAAAAAAAAAACTACAGGCACATCACTCCCAGCTAGCTAAGAAAAACTGGGAAACATCACCAAAACATGTTTTTAAAGAATTCAGTTTATAATTGAATTTTATAATTTTGATATCCAACATATACACTATTTGAAGAGTTAGTTGGTTCCCTTGGTCTTTAATAAATAGCGCCAAAGAATGAGCAACATAGGAGAAAAGATCTGGAAAGCCAGTAACTTAAAGCCCAGGAGTGGGAGGATACCCATGGCCTGGAGACTATTTCAGTAATGAAATAGAAGAGCAACATAAGAGGGAGTAACCAGCCTTTCTGTTAATGATATCAGTCACTTAGTATCTGCAAGCCTGAAGGCAAGTCAGTTCATCTTTCTGGGCTGAAATGTGCTCATTTATGAAACAGGGAGTTGGTCCCTTCTGATTCTTTGCTTCTCTTTCTTTTTTTTGCTTCAGGGCTAATTATACTTTCAGAGAATACATTTTGTTGGCCAAAAGCAGAAGAAAATTTTACTCCTTTCACAAGTGAAACATTCAACTGTCAACTATGTTAGTCTCTTAAAATCTGTTGCCTTGGTTTTAGACATTTTAGGCTTTTAGGGTAGAGTAAGGCTCCCCACTCCTTTAACTACAAGTGAAGAGCGGAAAGAACGTGCATTGTCCCCCCATTGCTAATTGAAGTCAGAATTCATTCCAGATGATATCTTAAAGCTTACATTTTTAAGATTAGAGTTTTAGTTTACACTGAATAAAACCTTTTTCAGTCTGTTGATTCTCCTATTTAGGACACGCACACGAGTTTCTTAAAGGAGATTCTTTATAAAACTCTAAAATACAGGAAAACTTGGTGTTAACCAGTCCTTTCCTCTAAGAAACTAAAACACTTTACAGACCATATCTCATTAATCCTCACAACATATGCTATTAAAATGGTAATTTTTAAAAAGGCTATGGTGTAAGGATTAATGAGAGGGTATGTCGCAGGCTCTCCGGAGAGAATCACCAAATAAATGCAACATAGCTTCTGAGTGGAAGTGCAAAGTCAGACCCAAAGTGGCTCTGTAGGTAGCTAGTGCACTTATACAGTGTACTAGTAATATTGCTGAGGCATCTAACGGCAGCTTGCCTGAGGTGGAACCCTACATTTAAATGCACCATTATTTTAGTGTTCAGTACGCCTTAGAAAGGAACTGGGTGAAGGAAACAGGGGGAGATGAGACTAAGACCTTACATGATAACCACTGAACAGCATCTACTTTACTACTTGGTCTCCAGTCTAACAGTGATGCCATAAAGGGAAACATCAGCCACATGGTTGTACTGGCACATAATCTTATTCCTGTCTTGCTATAAATGGAAATCTTTGATTTCTGATTGACTTCTTTATTTCAGTTTCCATACCTTGAATGATCTTCTTGACCGTATCTTGGTCTTTGTTTTGATGTTTCCATAACTTCAGCAGCTGGAAAGTTTGTTCTTGGGAGCTATGTTGCCGTTTTATTCTCTCGACACTCTCCGCGTTTACTTTGGTGCCAGGCAAGTTGTCTACAAGAATGCTGAGCCAGTTAGGGGTGAACTTGGTAGGAACTGCAAACCTAAAGAATGCCTCTTCACATAAGGTGACATCTAGAAGGAGATGGAAAAACCAAGAAGATGTACTCAACAACTGGATGTTTGGAAGTCTATTAAACAACATAAAGAACTAAAAAAGATGACATACAATCAATCTTTAGTTTTCAAGGCAGACTGATAAAATGCAAAACAAAAGAACGATAACCTTTTTGTTAGTTGTTCTTACTGAAATATTGCCACACCAGCTGAGTTTACATCTTTAAGAGCATTTTTTGGAAGGAAAGAAAGTTTAATAAATATAAGACTATAATACTGTTAGAAATAAATTACTGCAAAATGCTGTGAGTGATTTGATATAAATACTAACATTCTGTTAAAAGGTTATATGGTGTCTATACAGTCACTTAGTGGCCATCTGTGTCAAAACAAACATAATCTCTGCCTTTAAAGGAGTTTGAAATGAAATGTGGAATAATATAAGACTTTCTGCATATAAACAAACATAGTTTCCCAATAGGAGAACAATACTTATAAATGTATAAGTAGAAAAACACACCAACACAAACAATAGCTTCTAGAAAAGAAGTATGAGTGGCTAGGTAGGGTCAGTTTATCCCAGAGATTAAGAGTTGTCCTTGGGGTTTTTAGACCTGGATTGGAGTCCTGGCTCTTCCCACACCACTTACAGTGAACTTGAGCAACCTTCACAATGCTTTTATTAAGGTTAAGCCTATTATAACGCCATACCTAACACATGGAAGAGTTTCTTGAATGATAAAGTAAAATAAGAGAATATTAAAGGTAAAAGTTATTCCTCTTAGAACTCTTCCCCGATTCCAGTACTCATATAGGAAAGCACCTTAATAACTTATCTAAGATTTTACTTACACAATATAAAAAATGTTGGGACTGTGTCGGATTCTTACTCTCCCCACCCACACTTCTATACTTCCATGTCATAAAAATGAAGTTTAGGCCCTCCCTGGTGGCGCAGCGGGTTAAAGCACAGCACTGAGAAGCTTAAGCCACCCCTGCATGAGTTCGAACCCCGCCTGCCCCAGAGGTGACCACATGGCGCGGCAGACCTCTCCTGGACCGCCCGCTGCTCCCCTCAGCAGTGTACTTCATTGCCTGTTCTGCTCCCCACTCTGTTTCTGGTGAATCCTCTCCCCCTCCACATCTCTGGCCTGTACCCCAGTTCTGTACGAATAAATAAATAAATCTTTAAAAAAAAAATGAGGTTTAGGAAGAGTCAAGTTGGTTTGTGACATTTGCTAAGAGGCAAATCTTCCTTGATGTGATGAACCCTTGGTAGAGGTCTGGGATTTCTCTAGAGATAATGTGGACAGGGTGAAGATACCAATCTGATCCGTGTCACAAAACACATGGGATCTAGTCAGACAACTTGTGCTTGGAACTTTCAAATAAAGAGTTTAAGTCAACTGGGGAAATCTGGAATTTTCATGCAATTGAGGCAGTAGTACTACAGGAACAAAAGCCAGTTTTACATTTCTAACATTTCCATTTGCTTCTCACATGCCAACTTATACTGTGGTTAATAACATATTTAAAATTGACACAAATGCCTAACAAAAAACCCTGCGATTTGAACTCTGTTAATTTGGCCTCAGATATAATCTCACCATCCCTTTCCCCATGGGTAAGTGTGAAAGGGACAAAGTAAAGGTTTAGAGCTTGTTCTGTGAGAAGATGGATTTCTGGGAAAGATTTTGAGTAACTGCTCTCAGAATGATTCAGTCTTAAGCTCATTAAAATGTGAGAAAGATAAAAGTGTGTATTTCACCTCGGTGGCCAGGATGTCATCTGTCCGATTCAGCGTTTGTACAAAGGCTGACTTTAAAATATAATTACCTATTCCACATTTTTGAGTCACTTCACTGTTTCCAGAACATAGATTGTCATGTGTAGTATTTCCTTTCTGAGTTAAAAGGAGACCAAGCGCACTGCAATTTGTGTGTTTTCTGCAGGGTGTCTTCGATGATGTTTCACTCGAGAAGAATCCATCTGGACATCTTTTGCAAACTGTATTTCGCTCAGGGGTTCCTACAGAAAACACCAAGCCAGTTAGCACCTTTTTCTCAAATACTTTCACAACAGATACCCTCTTAACACATATTTCTTTTCCTTTCACTTCATTTTTTACTGCTACTAATATGTTGCATAAAATTCAAACATTTTTTATTTTTCACTTCATTAAACAGAGAGAACGAAACTTCTACTGTTACAGCCTTAGGCAGTCTCTCCTCTTGTAATAGGAACACAAGTTAGTTTTTTGCTTTACCCACACAGCACCCAGGAAATGGGAGATGAAAGAAGCCAGGATGTTCATTTATCAGCCTGTGTGGACATGTCAATGAGGGCTTCTTTTCAACTATAGTCTTCACACAATTATTCCTGGAGATTGTTAAGAGAGCTGCTTTGTAACTGCTGGAAGATCATTCTTTGAAATCAGAACCTACTGCTGCCTCGTTAACTTCCAATCAGTTCCCACTAAAGTTCTTTCTTTCCAGAATCTTAATTGTAAAGCAACTCATAAGTATGCTAACCTTGAGAAGTAAAAATTTACAACATTATAATAAAACTTTGGAAAGTGGCAATAAAGTTGGTTGCTGACTTAAAAGCGTAAGCCTGCAGTTAAGCTACAGAGTAAATGGAAGATTATATACCATTTGCTTAAATTGTTGAGCTTTAAAAGAGCACAGTCGTTAAAATTTCAGGGAAGGGTAACTGCAAGGGCATTTTACTTCATGGTAGAAAAGATATTTGATGCATTTGGAAAAAAAATCACTGGTAGGAAAGCTTGAACCAGTCCACAAATACCTTCCAATCCTTGACTATTCTGCATGGAGTGAAGGTAACTTGCAGAGTATTTGCATATGAAAATACCTCCATCTAGTGTAAGCTAGTTGAACAGACTTACGTCTTCAATATTCAAATGTAGCTTTCTTTATTTTTTTTATTTTCTTAATATATAATTTATTTATTTACATATATTTTACATCATCGTTCATTTTTGCATGTTTGCTTTCTTTTCTCAGGTATAGTCCCCATAAAATTCCCACCAGCAGTTCACCTGTGCACCATCTCCACAGTCCCTTATGCTCTTCCCACTCTCATTCTTATCCCTTTCTCTCCCTCTCCCCTGTGGAATGTCTCTGATTTATAGTTGTTTATTTAATCCTTTGTTTTTTTCCCCCTTGATCCTCTATAGTCGTCTTATAAGTGAAACCACCTGATACTTTTCTTTTTCCTTCTGACTTATTTCACTGAGCATTAATGCCTTCCAGCTCCATCCATGTTGCTGTGAATGGCATGAGTTTTTCTTTTATGATTGCTGAATAGTATTCCACTGTGTATTTATACTACATCTTCTTGATCAGTCATCTATTTTTGGACAGTTGGGTTGATTGCATGTCTTACTATTATACTGTTGCAATAAACATAAGGATGCATGCATTCTTTTACAGGCCAGTTCTGCCTTATGCAAGCTAATGGATACAAAAGGGACAATTAAAATTTATCTAAACTAATAAGCTGCATTTATTAAAAATATCAACCTCCCATTTCATTGTATATTTTACCAAAACCTGAAAAAAAAACACAGCATTTTGAGTTGGTTCTATTTTCATAGTTTCTTGCATTTTTTGTACCTTTGATGATGCACTGACCAGTAAAAATCACTAAAGATTGGCAACAACAACAAAAACACAGACATGAATCTTCACATATTTAATGTTCTTTCTACCATGACCTGACATCAGCTTAGGAATTACCTTACAAAGAAGCTTTTTTTTTTTAATATTTATTTTTTTATTCATATGGAACTGGGGTACAGGCCAGAGATACGGAGGGTGAGAGGCTTCACCAGAGACAGAGTGGGGAGTAGAACAGGCAGATCGATGAAGTACACTGCTGAGCAGTGCAGCGGGCGGGTCAGGAGAGGTCTGCCACGCCATGTGGTCACCTCCGGGGCAGGCGGGAATCGAACTCATGCTGAAGTGGCTTAGTGCTATGCTTTAACACGCTGCGACACCAAGGAGGCCCAGCTTTTTCTTTCTTTTTTTTTTTAAAGTACTTTCTTACACTATACCTATCCCTTAAGCAAGATTGAACCCCATACCAAATGCTCCATAAAAAGCATTTGGGCAAGGGTTCCATGGTATCTATCATTGCTAATATTTTATGAATAAGTAGACTTGGACAGCTGCACCCAAGTCTTTCTTTCCAGCTGTCACAAGTTCTGCAAAGCCAGCCACACAAAGAAGAATCTTGTCATTGTTCATGTAGAAATTGATGACTTGGTTTTACTCAGGCATTTGAATGAGAAAGTCATAAGTATGTGAAGGCATTTTTTCAGGTAATTTAACATTTAGAGTTATTTCAAAAAAAATCCAAGAATGATAGAAGTGAAAGTTTTTTCATCTCTGGGCCACTTTCTATAACAATCTTTCTGAACTGAGCTTTATAATGGATAGAAGACTTTATAAATAGAAAATTATCCAAGTAAATGATGTTGCCTTATTAATATCAGTGAGAACATAAAAAGTGTAATCCTGCAGGTAAAATAGGAACTCTAATGGTTAGCAGAATTCTGCTTTACATCTGCAAATATCACCATGTTTGCCATAGATAATTGCGTAGGAATTACAGGACTAGCAGAAAGAAAGAAGCAAAATACAGAGAAGAAATGATATAACTTCAAAACAACAGGAAGGAGTGTTATTAGCTACTTTTTAGAATAACACTGCCCTGTCCTGCCATCTTTTTAGCCTGGGAGCCTCTTATTTTCCATGAGGAACTAACCACCTTGTGGGTTTTTAGGGAGGGAATGGTAAATAAGCCCACAGTGATGGCACAAAATGTGTGTGTTTGTCCTAAGTCTTCTGACTGCCTGCTTACTTCATTCTACAAACATTTTCGTGCACCTGTGAGAAAAAAATCCTTGCTATTTTCATTACTTTTCGAAATATTATAGTTTCCCAGCCGTGTGCTCCCTGCTTACTTAGTTCTCCTACAGATGCAGCTTATTGAATTGTTAAATGGATTTGTTTTTGTTCGATGGGCTTTTCCCCCTCTACAACTTGGCTTAGTTTTGAGTCTCAAAGTATTATCCAATAAAAACTAGGAAGTGTCACCAATTTCTCAAATAGTCATACAAGAACCATTTTGCACACCTTCTGTGATTAATTTTGTAAGAGTCACAGCTTTAGGAAATTTATTAGATTTCTACTTTTGAACAAGTATGCTTTTCAACTGAAAGTACGTGTCATCTAATAGTTTAGGTGTGATCTATCTTATAATAATATATATACTACAATTTCTGAAAGTTAGAATAGTTATAAATAATTAGCATTCTCTCAACCAGTGGATGTCAACCACCTTTGTCGATAGAGTGATTCTGTCAACCAGGGGACAAGAGACAATGTCTGGAGCTATTTTTAGTTGTCACATCTAGGGAAGAAATGTTATTGCATCTGGTGGCTAGAGACCAGCTGGTGCTAAAGATTCCACAATGCACAGGACAGCTGCCCACACGAAGAATTACCCAGCTCAAAATATCAGTGGTGCCGAGGTTGAGAAACACTGCTTCATATTGGGAAATTCAGGATCTATACTGATTACTACTTCATCCGGAAAAGTAAATGAATACTTTTCATTTTCCCAAGCTATTAAAGAACACAGACTACACTGAAACTTAGTAAATACGAGGAAGGTGGGAAATGTGAGTGCAGCTGTAAAAGATTCAGTGCACACTGGCCTTAACCTGTCTGCTCAAAAAGCAAAAAGAGAAAGTACTTTCTTTGTAGACAGGTACTTACTCTTGGGTTGACAATCTGTTTTGTCTGAGATAAAGAATAAGCTCATTGAAGAGATACTGCTACAGTCTTTATCCTCCCAGACACTCCACTCCCATGCCAAAGGAAGAACTAGCTTCATTTTTAATAGTGCAATGCATTTCCCCTAACCAGTCTCATTTTTTACATAATTAATTATAACTGCTCATTGTTAGCACTCCAGAGCCTCATTAATATCAGCATAATTACTCTCTTGGTATCAATTAACATTTCTGATGTTTGTCAAAAAGTACTGCACTTTGAATCTGTCCAGGCCGAAGTGAAGCACAAAGGTATAGATCAGCTATAAACAGCGTAATTCAGACTGTGGGCCTCGAAAAAGGAGCAATTCATCATGCATCTCATTAGAGAGCAATTTGCTGCATTTGAGATTTGTCACTAAATTGCCCTGTCGTGGCAAAGTATTCCTCTAAGAAATGGGCCTCTGGCGGCGTCCAGACACAGAGGGCCTACCTAGCGGGTTCCTCCACCGTTGCAGTTTGCTCTCCTAAAAGGGCATCAGGACACAAATTAAACTTCCCTTCTACCCGACGTGACCAGATGCGTACCAGCGTGCAGCACACCAAACCCTGGCGGGCAGCTCCTGTGCTTCAGGCAGAACTCGAGCTCCAGAAAGCGGCCGTCCTCACATTCGCACACACGGTTGTGGGTGCCGTTGCACTCCTGCTTGACAAGCTGCAGCTCCTTGCACACCGGGCTGCAGTACAGACACTCGTCGCTGCTGTGCCAGCTGTCGGTGTAGTAGTGCTTGGGGCAGGGTGCACACACCGTGCTGTGCCTGGAGGTGCAGTGCTGTTTCAGGTAGGTGCCAGGGGGACACTGGGCACACATGAGCTGACGAGAGGTTTCTGGGTCATAATGCAGGTACTTGGGAGGAAAGGTTTCCTGGATGGTCCACTTAATGGAGACGTCCAGAAGCTAGCAGGAGAAATGAAAATAGGGTCATCTCAGCATGGACACACAGAGCTGCTTCTGTACAAAGACCATGAGATTCAAGAAATTCTTCCTTAAATCTCATCACCTGCCGACCTATTGCGCTCCAGAAGCTAAGAGTTTGCCACCAGTCGTTTCATCTCAGCAACCAAGTGTCAGAAAATCTATACCAGAATCACCCACACTCCTCAATAGATTCCTGGGGTTCATTCCGCATGCCTTCTGATTCTCTAGGTGTGGAGTTGGGATAAAGGAGTAAAAAAAAAAAACTTCTGCAATGTTTCTGATGTATAATGTCTCTACTCAATAATTATTCTTTCATTTACTCCCACGGTAAAATGAGCCTTTCATATATGGCAAGTTGTGTTCTAGGTCCCTGGAATTCAGCAGTGAATAAATAGGCAAGAAATCCTGCTCTTGTGGAATTCATAATCCAATTTGGGGGAGAGGTAAAAAAATTCACAAATTACATATAAGTTATATATTAGATGGTAATTTTTTTAAGCCAATGAAAGAGATTGGAAACACAGGAGGAAGGTAGAGGGAAAACAATCTTTAAATGCGATGGACACTACAGTGATATTTAGGGCCAGATGATCTCTGTCTTAGCTTTTCCATTCTAAGTTGCTATGATCCAGACAGAGTGAAGTAAAGAATGGTCGATGTGTGAAAGCTGTGTGATGACCTCCAGAGTCACTCTAGTCAGTCCCTCGGCCTTGAATGGCCACTAAGGACACTCTGAGGGAGGAAGACAGGATGCTCATCCCCATGGATCTTCACTGAAGGATCCCCAGAACTTTAAGACTTCTATTTCCTCCTAACATTCCATGCCCTGATTTTGACTCCATTGATGGCTAAATTGTGTCTAGGAAATTAAATGATCATCATGTCATGTTAATTGGAAAGAACATCAGGGAGCAAGCAGGGTTTCAGAAGTCTATACATGGAGGCAAGAAGTTTATGCAGCGGGGAAAGAGAATTTTATGGAACAGGTAGTGCTCAGGAAGGGAACTCCAGCTGGCTGTCCTGTCTTGTATTGCAGGTCTCAGAAGGACTGGGAGGAGTCATCGAAGTACTGATGGCAAGAAACACACTGAGAAGAGAGTATTTTTTTGTGTGTAGGGGGTGGTTTGTTTGGTTTTCACTGTTTGTCTTTGGTATAGGGATCAACACTAACTATTTTCAGGCTTTGGGTAGGCAGCCGGCCAAACAATCATTTTTCCAAACTTCCTCCAGATTCAAGAAATCTCACACAAAATCCTTGGCCTGGGAATATCATGCCAAGCTTAGGAAATCATATCCCTCTTTGAACTTTGGCCTTTTTTCATTGGCATTTGGCATTTCAATCTATGCAACGTCTCACTTCTTGTTGGCCTATGTTAACCTGCAGGACTGAGAGATGTAATATGAGCTGATAAACCAGAAGAAAAGGTCAAAACGTCTCAGTCAGGGTCATGGACTTGACTTTTCAGAGAACAATTTGTAAAGTTCTGGGGTGTAAAGTAGTGCCAGTCAACATAAAGCTGAATATAGTGCAAAATCAAGGCTGCTTCTGTGGTCTTTCTAGATACTCTTTTGATGAAACCAGCGGTGGGTGAAGGCTCTGATGTGCTCTGGATCTTTCAGAGATAGATGGAACCTCCTTACTCATGCAACACATTGACCAAGCATCCACCATGAGCCACCCATGTAGAAGAACTTAATATGTGGTGGACAAAACAAAGGCGGCCCTTGTCTTCAGGAATTCTCAGCCTTGCCGAGAGGCAGACAGCACATGAAGTGAAGAGATAAATACTCACAGATGTGAGCAATGTCACAAAGGAGGCAAAGCAAGAAGACACACTTGACTTTGCTGCCAGTTGGTCATTTAAATATATTAAGCTAATCCTTCAGGGCCCATCAGACTTCAGTATTTTTAAACTCCTCAAGACTAAGGCAAGATGTTTTCCTGACGCAACTCGCATGAGAGCAGTGAGAAAAGCGTTTTTTTCCTTGCACTTTAAGTTTCCTGAAAAGTCACTTTTGAGGGTTCTTTGGCTTTCAAGAGGCCTGGCCCAGAGGTCCTGCAGGATGCCTTTGTCTTGCATGATAGTGCTGAGAATGTTTGGAGTCTGGAGACTTCCCCAACCTCACACCCACCAGTCCCCTTCCCATTTCAGCAGAGTACGTCTGGTGATGCCCATGTATTCTATTCATCCATGCTGACATGTTTCTTCCTGACCACGTGATAGGGAAGGGATGGGGAAACCCCACAGCTGGTGCTGTGTTCCTCACTAGAAGGAGTTAAACAAACACAAGATCTAACCAAGAATGCGGATGTGAGTTCTATTTTTCTAGGCAACTGGACATAACATTACTGGTTTCTAAAAAACCATGCTTTGAAAGTTAGTTGTACTTCTTCAAACTACAGGGACAGTGAGGTGAAAAGAGTCTACAGAGAAAAAACTAAGGCCACCTTAAGGATTAGCAATTATACTAGTGATAGCAATATCTCCAAGACCACTGGAGGGAAGTATTGGATATATTAAAAAAAAAAAAAAACTATTGAGAAGTTGCAGATTGTTTTCAGCAAGTTCCACTGACTCTCTGTTTCCCTTGAAAATTTTCCACTCTGGTAAAAGGACAGAACTCTGTGTGGCCAAAACTGGATGTTTGGGTCTCATTTTCTGGTTAGCCCCAGTTCCCACACAAATTCTGCAATCAGTTACTGGATAGAGGATAGGCCCTATCAATACAGCCTTTCTTCTCAGTCCTCTCTTACTTACTTCTTTCTTCTGCATTTCCTGAAAAAGCATGAAAAATACCCTATAGGACAGATCACCTTCATACTAGCTTCATTTCCTTTGCCAGCTGATAATATTTAAAACTATTAAGGGTTTAAAAAAAAATGCTATGTAGGGCCCTCCCTGGTGCCACAGAGGGTTAAAGCACAGCACTAAGAAGCTAAAGCCACTTCAGCATGAGTTCGATCCCAGCACAGGAGGTGACCCACATGGCACAGCAGACCTCTCCTGACCCACCAGCTGCTCCCCTCAGCAATGGACCTTGTCAGTCGGCCTGTTCTGCTCCCCACTCGGTCTCTGGTGAATCCTCTCTCTGCCCCTGCACCTCTGGCCTGTAACCCAGTTCGATATGCATAAATAAATAAATCTTTTATAAAAAATGCTGTGTAAGTTTCAGTTCCCATATAACTGTTACAAATATCTGCAGAAGCTAGGATGTGGGCATAGGTGTGTATGCAGGAGCATGAAGTGCTTTAAAGCAGTGACAACTTTGGGTTTTTGTGTGTATGTTTTATGCTTGACTTTTGGAATCTTCTCTCCATTTTTTTTTTTTAATTTCTTCCTCCTCCCATTCTCTGAGTGAAGAGGAATCTGAATTCCTAAGATCTAGAGTCTCCCACCAGTCCAGGAATTCTTCTCGAATATCTTAGGCCGTTTTTCTTGAGAGGCCTGATAGCTCTGTCTCTCTCCTTACCTTCCATTTTGTTTGACAAGGTTAAAGAATTTTCTATTTCAAACCCAACCATCTTTCCTGACCTAACAAAAGTTAGCTGATGATGGTAATGCGTGAAGATAGTGGGTGCATTGAATTCATTGTTCTTCAGAATACAATTGTAATATGCTGTGGATTGCAAAGTTTAATTAAGCAATGGAGCTGAACATGTGTGTCTTGCTCTAAACCCTTTCTTACTTCTAGCTTTATTATTTTATTTGTGAAAGCCTTTTTTACAAGAGGACTCCAGCAATCTCCACTTTTCAGATTCACACATGCCTTCCATCCCCTCTAGAGAATCCCAATACTTCAGCAACCTGAGCTCTCAGCTATGCCTTTTTCTCTAGCACACTCCTTCCCATATGCTATTTTTTCAGTGTAGCTGCATGCTTAACAAAAATGTTATTGTATGTTTGCTGCTGAATCTGTTTGTTTCCTAGTGTACACCATATTTATATATTTATGTATGTATATATTGCAATAACTGTAACTATAATTAGGTAATTCAATTAAATACAATTAACCCATAAATCTGGGTGTGAGAAACAAATATTTCATGAAAACTTAAGCAAATATTTTGGGATGAAGTTGATAAAGAAGAGCCATAAAATCAAAACAAACAAAAAAAATACTAGAGAATTTGGAGTAGCTGAGATAATCAAGGAAACATCTGGAAAGGTTACCTAATCCATTTATTTCATAGATGTCTTAAGTTCCAAAATTGATACAGATGGTACTATAGATGTATTGATATGGATGTTATTATAGATGCAATGTGTTATAGATAAGAGCTTTACAAGCAAGACAACATGAGACTCCAGTTAGCATACACTAATTCCAAGGAAAGCCTTAGTCAGATCTCATAATACAAGCAAATGAACATTTACTTAAATGTTTTAAGTCAGAATGAAATATTGAAGATATCTGTATAAACATTTTATCTCTAAATGCTATACCTAGTTTTTTCCATGAATCACCCAATTCCTGGTTCCAAGCAAATATGCAATTTCTAATGAGAATTCCACAACCTTGGGTAACAGAGTTGTAAATTTTTTTGTGTAGGTAGCAGAATATGGCAAAACAAAGAATTCTGTTTGTCTATTTCACTCTAACACACATGCATTTAATATCTATTTATGTTTGTTTGAAACAACATTAGGATATTTTCTCTTCGTTATTTATATCCTTAAACTGTAAAAGTTAGTCACAGAATGAGTAATTCACCATCCCAGGTCACAGTCATTAGTCTAGGTAGAATTCCTACTCACAGCGTGTGCCACTGAATACTATTTTGTGTTACATCCTTTAACACTGACCAAATGCTCTGAATTAGATGATAGTATTCATGCATTGCACAAAAGCTACTCCAAAGTGGTGGCTTTGCATTGAGGCTTAAGAGCTTAAGTAGGGCAATCAGAGCAGTCAAATCCACCAAAACCTTTCCAAGTGCAGATGAAATGATGTTGGCTTTATATCTTTGTGCTAAGTCTCACTCTTGTCCAATGCTACTGTGATGGAAATTACTCAGATGATAAGTAGTCTGACCAGAGCATTTACTGGCGTGTGCTTCTCCTTCAAGCACAAAAGAATATACTTCCTCCAGCAAGTTTATTTTTGCATTATGCAATGCAGCCATTCCCCTTCTCCTGGGCTTGCTCTCTGGGATGGAGGGCCATGAGTGACCCAGTGGGTTTCCGTTTATGGAAAATTCATTAAAAGGAACCCACGCACAGCTTGAAATAACTACTTGGTTTGGGAGTTCCTTTTGTGATCCCTCGTCATGATCTTTGCCGCAGAGAACTATTTGAGGACTATCCAGAGTTAGCTAAACTTCTGGTCAGTTTGGAAACCATGCCATTTTACAGTTCATCTTAGCCAAGAAAGGAAACAGTCAGGATATATAGCATAGTGAGTTTCCTAAAGGTCTCTTAGAGTACAAACTAGAAAGTTTATTAAAAATAAACTGTTTTTCTATGAAGGGTAGTTTATATGATTTTCTATAATCGTATAAATGCAGCCCTTTCCCTCTTCCCTCCAGTCCTTAAATAAGATTTATTCATTGAGTCAACAAGCATGTATTGAAACAATTACCATGCTTTGGAATAACTAAGTAATGGAGTTGAATGAGTTGATATTACCACTTTGTAGGACTATTCATCTAAAAGCTCAGTTTGATATTATAATAGTCATAAAACACCACCAAAACAATTGGAAGAGAGAAGAAAAGGGTTCAAGAAAAGACTCCACAGAGAAGCAAGTCATAATGGACAGGAGGCTGAAGTCTGGCACTGGTGATAGAGGAGAGGCAGGGACAGATGTGAGGTGCTGGAGGAGGTTCAAGAAAGAGTAGCTGAGGAACATGCCCATGAATTCTAACCTTCAGCTATGTGGTATTGCCACTGATTACTGATAACAAGAGGAAGTGACAGCTATGGAGAAGGAGAAAGACTATGGACTTAGTTCAGGACATTGTCCATCTATGAAATGTAAGTGATGACATCTAGTAGACAACTGAAGAATGTATTGGGAATTCAGGGCAGAAATAATGCCAAAGACATAACGTTCAGGGCTATAAGTATATAAATGACTCTAGAAGCTGAGAGCTTGTATGGGATTACCCAAAGATATTATATACTAGCAAAAATATATTCATTAAAATGCTAACCTTTCAGAGTCCTAACTGTTTGCATATAGAATTAAAAAAAGAGAGAAGGCTGAAAAAAGTAGGGACATCACAGTTTCAAGAAATTGCTAAATGAATAATATGTTTATAAAGTGTATAGGTTGGCAGTTAGGTCAGTATGAATTAGCAAGAGTATTTGCAGCTGGAAATCTAATTTAAAATATGCATACAGGAATTCAAACACAAGTTGACCAGCAGGTTAATAACTGGGCCACTATTTTACCTTGAAAATGAAGAATAGCTGTTTTTAGCTATCTCTGAATTTGAATCCCCTTCAAATTGTTCTATTTCAAATTAACATAAGGACACAGCTAAACCTGGTAAAGAATAAGTTCCAAATTAGTAAGTGGCATTCTTTTAGATGTTCATAATACAGGGAAAAATAGAAGATAATTTAAATCAGACTCATTTTGGACACAATTTGCAGTTTACTTTTCTGTAGCTAGTAATACACTGAAGATGTGTCATAAGTTAGCTACTACGTATCCCCTTTTTAGTTGTCTCCAGAAAAAAAAAAAGTCTCTGACTTGTTTTTAAAATCAGTTTTTCTATTTTCCAATGTAGCATCATTTTCTTAGTCTTAATCAAATGTTTCAAAATAGTTACATGGGTTTGCTTAAAAGAACCCAAATAGAAATATACATGTCACCACACTCCATAATTACAAAGTGTCTTACAAAGAGGTTTTACATAGCAGGTCATCAATAGCTCTAATTTAATTTTATTCAAGTCAAAAGATATAGTAAAAAACAAGTATAATTGGGCTTACTGGTGACCATAACTATCCACCACGTAAAGGATAAATTTGCAAAGAGAAACTCAAAATCTGCAAAGTGATAGTGATGACAGAATTTGCCTAAAGGGAGGCTTTTTAAAAGAATCTTTCATCTCGCATGGCATTTTTCATGTACAATTCCATTTGCAGTTAGCGTCCATTTTAAAGGTGAATACGTGTGAAAAAATCCAGTCGTTCAGTTGAGAAGTTTATCTCTTGCTGCCAGTTCCCCACCTCAGGATCTATGACTGCTTCATAATGTTCATAAAAACCAGTTTTTTGGCTGAGGATTATGTCTCTAGGTAAGGAAGTAAGAGCAAATGAATTAAATCTGTTCATCTACATAGAACTGATAGGCTGCCAGCAGCTTTTGCTAGGCCAATAGGGAAAAGGAAACACAAGCAATTATGATTTATTAAGTGACTCACTGTGCCAAACTTGACACCATTTTACTTCCCATGAGGCTAAAGAACTATCTCCAGATAAAATTTAACTTTAAATGTGGTATTTTGGGTTCACTCCAGAAGCTTTCTTTACTTGGTTGAAAGCTTTTAAATTAATTTGCTTATGTTTGCAAGCAACCAGAGTTGTCAGTATAGATTTGTTTATGATGCTTTGGAGGCTTCAGAGGAGTTTTATAGACAATAAGCATTAGGTAATTGACACATAGAGGGAAAAAAATCTCTTGAGAAAAAAGAGCTTGCAACATATATAAACACTTAAAACTTTTCTAAGGAAGATAATGTAGTATTTCTAACATTTTGTCTCCCAGATCTCATTGTTTCTTCCTTTAGGTTTCTGTTAATCACCAGATTTGATATATAATGTCAATTCTGAAAACTTCAACTCAACAAAAGGCAGGTCGCAACTTCCCTTATAATCACTCTGGCCTCTTGGCAAGCACAAAGGAAAGATGACAACTCCATAATTTTCCAGCTACAGTACCTGGAATATTGGACTCAGAAATGGCAACACATTTTAGAGTTCTGATAGTTCTGACTGTCAATTTTTTAATTCCCTTTTATTTCTACAAGTGCTTTCCTTCGAAGATTATCACAGTCATTTTATGGTTATTAATGACCTAGATTGAAGCCCCATCAATGTATGGGTATGGAAAGTTGGTGAGAGAAAGTCAGAAAGCAACAGTGATTAGAAAATGGAACAGAACTAGAACTATAAGTCAAGTAAAACATCCTAGTTAAACCTGTAGACTTTTACTGTATACCTACAGTATGTGAGCATCACATCAGAAGCCTCGGTGGCATGGTGAATATGTGATCTTTCGTGTTATTCTATGGTGGGCTCATTACTAAGCCCTTCCTTTAATGCTCTTATCATTCATCCTTTCCAGCCAACTTTGACAAGACAGGATTATCTCCATTTTATAGATGAAGAAATAGTGAATTTGAGCGACTTGTCGGAGGTCACAGTTATTACACATTCCAGCTGCTATTCAAATCTAGTCCAGCCTAAATATAAACCTTTAAGAACAGACTCTTCCCTCTGGGTTCTAGTAGTTTTATGGAGGAGACAGGCATATAAACGATCGACTATAGCATGATATAATTCAATGAGATCAGTCTTTTGTCCACATACTTAAGTGTTTGTCTATCCATCTATCCATCCATCCCCATCCATCCTGATAAATAGTTTCTTCTTCCTCTCCTGCTCTGAAATACAGTAGTTCTTAAAATCTCTCTGGAAGGTGTACCTATAAGACTCAGTTCCCTTTATATTAACCAGTAAGTTCTCCATAAAGCACACCCTTGAATTTGCTCTCCTGTTCCTGCCTTTCTTCTTTTTCATTCATCCCTGCTTCCCTAGCATTATTGCATTTTAAATAATGTATGAAAATACATGTGTCTGCCTCATGCTCTATTTCCTAGGGAATGTGGACTTAGAATTCATGTCCAATAAGAACGCTTGAACATTTAATTTCAAAGGAAAACAATAATGTGCTGACCTTCACCCCCATCCCAGAGCTGGAGAAAGACCTGGAAAAGTAATAATAATAACATTGTAATCATTTCACCCAAGGATTTGAGCTTCCTCAACCCCATCCTAAGCTTCTTAACCCCAGTAGAGAAGAGAAACTACACAGGCTTTCCTCTGACCTATGAATGAAAAGAGTTCTCAGCCAGGAGACCTTAGGAAAAATGAGTGAATTTCTTTGTGTGTCAGGTTCTTTCTTTGTAAAATAGATCCTAACCTCTGTATCATAGAATTTTTGAGAAAATTAAGTGAAGTGTTATGTATGGCTTTCATACATGACAAATAGCTAGGCCTGATGGCTGTCTCTCTGTTCTATGGTCTCCCCCTTTAGGCCTAGCTTACATGAAACTATCCTAATGGGAGAAAGATCTGAGAGCTTCTGCTAAGGAAGAGCAAATGGAAGCAATGAAGAGAAAAAGACATGGTACCTGATTGCTCACTCTCCCATAACAAGGTATTTGCTTTATCAACTACTATTAGACCTGTTGATTTTCCCATTTTGCAGTCCAAATAAATTTTTATGCAATTTCATTTCCCTAAATGTTGAATTTTCGTTTGCAGTCGAAAGAAAAGATCCTCCCTCAGGAATTCTTCAACAATGACTTTGAGGAAGGAGTCTAAATTGATAATCCAATATCATAAATGTAAATGTGGATTTTTTAATGTTCTTTGTAGCTGTTGACCCTAAAACATCACAGAGATGGCTGGCGTTTCGCTACTCTATCAGCAAAAACTGGCTGTGTTTTATGCTGTCCTGAAAGACAACTTCAAATTCCCAGTAGCTTAACAATAACAAAGATTCAAATAATAAAGGTTTATTTCTCACTCACTTTACACTGCTAGTGGGCCCACTGAAGGCAACATGTTAGCATCATTGTCTGTCCAGGACGTAGGGTGATATAGTAACTAATATCTGAAGCATAGCTAGTTTGCTGTGGAGTAGAAGAGGGAGAAGAAATATTGATATTGGCAATTACTTGCCTTAATTTGGAAGCAACTCCTGTTATTATAACTCATCAGTCCTTGACTAGTTCTATTCATATGGTTCCCCACCTCCCTTCCTCACCCCAGAGGAGGCTAGAGTCACAACCTTGATGTTTCAGGAAGGTAGGGGAACTGAGAACAGTTTACAAACACCACTAACAACTATTAATACATCATAGATCAATAAACAGCAGTCATTCTTTCTAGCTGACCTTTATTTTAACAGCATCAAGTTGAAGTGTTTTTCCATCATACTGGATATTAAAATAAAGAGACAGGAAATAGAGGGTGTTAAAAGCAGAGGTTTCTGTCTATCAGCTCTGAGTATCAAGTGCAGTATTTAATGGTAATGCCAGCCTACCCATTATCACGCCTATCCCACCTGAAGCTCTGACATTTATGCCAAAGAAAGGCATGCAGTTGTCAAGTACTTCCCCTTGAATACAAATTCAAAGAAAATTCTGCTCAATGAGTCCAAGGAAATTGTGAGGGACCATAATTATACCTCTTTAGTAAGTCCTGAGGGAGTGCTTTAGGGTTTCTAGCTAAACGGAGTATGAAAAGTATGTACATTAACGACATGCATGCTAGCTAAAGACAAAGAAGACTTGTTTAAGGAGAAACTATTTTTTGACCTGAGAGAACAATCTGTGATACTAAAACTAATCCGTCTTACTACTAAGAAGTAAAAACATTTTTCAAAACCTGCATCTTCAATTTCTTGCACGTGAAATCAAATGGGTAGAGAAAAATTGGACAATTACACTTTTTAACTCTCTTAAGATAGTTTTATTCACACAAAAAAGAGAAAGTCAAAATGTTATATTGTCTTAAGATAGTTTTTTTTTTCCACAAAAAAAGAGAAAACAAGTAAGTCAGGCTTTCATGTTTAGAATAAGTAGTATATAATAAATCATTTTAATTCACATTTTTAAAATTTTTTTTAATTCACATTTTAATGAAGATTGAAACTAAAACAGACCTTCCAAGTACCACCTTGTTTAACAGTCCTATTTTAGATTGGATAAAGCAAGACTGAGAAAAATGGAACCACTAAGACTATGAGATCTCAGAGTCAGAGCTAAAGAATTAGAGCTATCCTCTCTCCACTTTGGGCATCTGATTGTTAGTTACTCTGTTCCACATTCTAGTACTTAAGTTATATTTTTTCTTGATGATGATGGTAAATGGATGGTGGTGGGGGACATTTTTATAGAATAGGATCCTAATATCCACATTTTCTAAGAATAAAAGAAACAGCTTTCTTGCACAAGAAAGTGATATTGCATGACAAAGCATTGAAGTTTGTGGATCAAAGACCAGAGAAGAATTTACCAGAAACTGCATTTACCAAAAGCAGTCACAAACTTTAGATGAATTACTATCTTGTTCTAAGTCTAACTTCATCTTGCATCCTATTTTCCCACTTTGTAGTTGATTATTTAAGAGACAGTTAAAGAAACTGCTTTCAATGGTCAGACTAAATGGAAGTTCAGATCCTCAGGCTATTCTTTTTGATTTTTATAGAAGATGTTTTGAGGAAATGAAACAATGTCTTCATGGTATTAAAGCCATAATTTTTTAGATGAATTTTTTAAAATCACAATAAGAAAGTAATAAGTCAAGGCAGTTAAAAATATATATACATATATAAGTACTTTTTTTCATTAGGCCAGCAGAAATGATATTTTATTTCTGAAAGCATCCTCTACCCATTTCTAGTCTGGCTGTTTCAGTTGCTTCTGAAAAACTCAGGTCCGGGCACCTGAGAAGTTATGTCACTTTGTAGATGGGAGAAAACACATCAGTGTGTCTGAAGATGGTTCTGCCCTTCGGCACATTAATTTCCAGTGTCCAGGTATACAGGAAAAGCAGGGGTACCACACAGCTCCTTACCTAATGTGTTTTAACACTATTCTTATCCCATACAACCGTCTCAAAAAATTCTTTTTTTAGACTTTCTAAGCTAGTTACCCCAAAATATTCTGTGGCAGTAGGTTCCAAAAACTAATTACATGTCACATAAAAATACTGTCCTTGTATCTATTTCAAGTTGGCCATACCTCACTCTTTCTTCTTGCATAGATAGTTTACAGATGTTGCTAGGGTTTCCAATTCACTAGTTCCTGCTATTGTGGGTTGCTAAGTTTTATTTTGATTTTTGTTTTCTTTGCTAAACATGGCTGCTATTACTGTTTATATCTGCATTTTGTTTACCAGACTATCAGTATCAGAAACATGTTCTAGGACTGGTTCTTTCTTTCAACTCCTGCCACATGAAATCATCCCTCCCTGTGACTTCGAAACACTGTTCCAGGGTGATGATCCAGGCTTCTCCTATGTCTTGGACTTTCCTGACTTCAGAGATATACTTGGCAACCTCCTTGAGCTATTTTACAAAATAAAAAAAAATGTCAGATCAAATAAACACTTAATGCCCAAATCAATCGAATGGCAGTTGGGAAGTGGATCAGTGAAACAGAAGTGGAGTTGCTAAGGGTTAAGATAGTAGTCTAGTTTCCTTTCAATGGATGCTAAAGAATGGACATTTATGGAGGTAGTCATGAGCCTTCTTAGTAGAAATGAACAAAGAATATTGAAAATACTCGTCACGTGGGAAGAGTGCTATATTTATATTCTGAAAGAAAGCAAATGTCCACATTGCAATGTTGTGTCATTAGCGGTAAGCTACATTCTGTTGGAACAGCCACAGAAACTGATGAGTTGAGTCAATATCCCAGCAAACCTCTCTGTATGTCCTTTGACTTAACAAGCACACGCTGAGTTTTAGGCACTGGGAGTACCTGGGGGCTAAAAACATGAATAAAATAAAAAAAAAATCTATGCTTGCAAAGAGCTCATACTTTTTTTTCAAGTGCTTGGTACAAACCCCTGGACACTCGGGGGTTTCTGGTGTTATAGTGACTGTGTGCTGATAGGTATCCCAGACAATTAAGCATATCTCATGTCCCGCTCCCCCACCCACACACACATTTTAAATGTCCTATTTACAAATTATCTAATAAAAGAAATGATCTAGTTAAAAAAATCTTATTTATCACTAACTGTGCGTGGCCCCTAGGGCTTCTGTGGCATGACTTTTATACATACTGAATTTTCCAGACAGTTAATGACATAAAAGTTAATACGCAATTGTACTGTTTTGTGTCTCCAAGTAACACACATGACTCAGTCCTTGTTCTTCAAGGCCAGCTCACAGCCATTCTGAAGAAAGATGTTACATGTCAATATTGCACTATGTCTCTCATGAAGCTCATATTCTTGTAAATACTTTCCTTTTATTTCTCCTTTATAGCACACTTATGCCAATATATTGATTCCTAAAGCTAATGCTTGTAAGTCAAATATATGTTCTGTAATAGTCACTACAGGAGACCAGGGGTGGTTACAAAGAATGTATTGCAAAAATGCATGGGAGAAGTCTGCAATGAATGAAGACTATGGTCTTATGGAGTAAAACATATAAATAGGCTGATAATTCCAGCATCTCTACTCTCTAGTAGCAACATCATGGCCAGCCAGGCATCCTTATTCAAGACCTTGAGTAATGTAAGCATAAATTTTTATAAGGTCACAGGTTGTGTAGGGGGCACAGTGGGCTATGGTGGAGGACCATGGGTGCCTTTATATTGGGTGGGGTGTAGTAACATATATGTAAAGACGTGGGATCTTAGACCTCTAAGCCACAGTGTTGTTAACTACTGCCCAGTCAATAATACTACTAACAATTTTTTTTGTTTTAAGATTTATTTATTCGTACAGAACTGGGGTACAGGCCAGAGATGCGGAGGGTGAGAGGATTCACCAGAGACAGAGTGGGGAGCA